GTGCCACATTCCAGGAGGAGGGCCTCACATCCCAGCAGGGTGCCCATGTCCTGGTGGGGGTCCCAGGGGGTGCCCAGGGGAGGAAGATTTCAATATTCCCCTCCAAGGCACAGCAGTGGGAGCAGCAGGCTTCAAAAAGTGCCTACCCAGGTCCTCTCCAGCTCCGCCTCAGCCTTCATCACCTGCTGGCCGGGCGGAAAGAGCCTTTGTGACATCCCCGAGCCTTGTGCCACAGCAGCCTGTGACAACACATCGGCTACACCTGCAAACATGTTCCAGCGGGGCGACTCCTCAATCCAGGTGGTCGCTTGCCTGAGCTCTGCTCTGGGTGACAGCATGTTGAGGTTGTTTCCTCAATGAGACCACGATGAGGCTTCTCCTGGTGCTGTCCCTGGCCATGGTGCTCTGGAGCCTGTCTCTGTCACCCACTGCCGCCAAGAGGGTCAGGGTCAAGACAGCCATCATTCCTAAGGGCCCAAAAAAACCATCCCTTGTCACAGGAAGCACAGCCTCTGACCTGCCCTACCCTCTAAACCAGCTTTGGGTCTACCTTGCCTGGGGGGACATGCCCCGTCTGCTCTGCAGGAACTGGCAAATCATGGGGGTGCTTGGTGTGGCTTTTATTATACTTCGCATCTGCAGAAATGTGCGGGAACCCCAGAGTCAGGCGAGCAGTCAAGAGCAGTTACACAGGAAGAGACAGGTGCAGGTAAGCACAACAGCCTTGGCTATGAAAAACCAAAACCCAGCATGGGCAAGAGAGCCTTAGCAGGCCCCGAGGGGTCCTCTGCCTCTTCCCCAGGGACACACCAAGCCACAGGTCTGACACTCTCTGGAAGCCCCCAGCATGACATGGAACCTGCCAGAGGTTTCCTCAGCCCAGCGTGCTGCCTGGAGCAGTCCTGTTAAGGCTGAAGTGCTCCCAGAGGAAGACAAGGCCAACAGGACCCTTCTTGGCCCCTCAAGCTCCTGTGCACTTCATTGTGCCCCTGGCTCTGTCACTTCCAGGGAAGGGAACAGGCAGCTTCACAGTCCGAGAGGACAGGCCGCCGGGCAAAACGCACCTTTAGCCATGCCGAATTTTACAAGATGATGAGGGCTGAAACCATGCTGCTGCTCAGGACCACCAGGTCTGTGCATCGCCTTTACCTGCAACAGCTCCGGCACGAGTACTACCAAAGGAAGGTAGCAGAAAGATTTCGGAAGAGCAGGACCTTCCCCAGATCTCCTGGTCCCAGCTCCAGCTAGAGCCAGTGCTTGGCCATTGGCAACGGGAACGGCAGCGGAACAGGTGAGCACTGCTGTCCATGCAGGGCGGGATCTGAGGCAGAACAGCCACCCACGGCCATGAGGTGCCCCACGGGTACCACATTCCCAAGGAGAGGGGCTCCCGTTCTGTCAGGGTGTCCATCCACATCCCCAAGAGGTTCCTGGCCGCTGTCTGTGTCCCACCGAGGTGCCCCAGGTGTGCCCATGTCCCTGTAAGGTGTGTGGTGGTTGCTCCCTGTGTCCCTGTAAGGTGGCAGGGGCCAGTGGGTTCTTTATTCCTTAGAATGGGTGCTGGGGAGAGGGGGGTGCTGCTCCTGCCCATGGTCACTGCCAGAGGCCAGCAGCAAGTTCTTCCCCACAGCAATCCTGTCCCCACCTTGGCATCAGCACATCACCATATTCTCACCTCAGGGGAAACTGCACAGGGGAACTTGCAGGGGCAGCTGTGCTGGAAGTCCCCCTGAGGAGGGACAGGGACACAGGGACACAGGGACCTCATAGCTGAGCTCAGGGACCCCAGAGAAGGGATAAAGCTGGCACCAGCTCCTCTCCCAGCCAAATGGGGAGATTTAAAGATCTTTAAAATTCACAGACTGTCTGAGGTCAGAAGGCTCCTGGCAGCTGTTTGTCCACGCCCATGCTCAGGCAGGGTTGTCTCGAGCAGTTACCCATGAACTTCTCCAGGTGGCTTTTAATAACTCCAAGAATAGAGACTACACACCACCTCTGGACAAGCTGTGCCAAATGCTCAGTTACTCTCACAGCACTTAAGCGTTTCCTGATGTTCAGAGGGAACCCCTTCTTTTTCAGTTTGTATCCATGTCCTATCACTGGTCCTGTCTTTTCACCCTCCCTCCTGCTATTTATATACATTAATAAGATTCCCCCTCAGCCTCCTCCAGCCTGAACAATCCCACATCTCTTAATCTTTCCTCATAGGAGAGACATTCCATCCCTTCATGACCCTTCGATGGACTCTCACCAGTAGCTCCTGTACTGGAGAGCCCAGAACTGGACACAGCGTGCAGGTGTGGCCTCACCGAAGCAGAGGGGAAGGATCACCTCCTTCAACATGCCAGCAACACTTCCCTAAAGAAGCCCAGGATACCCTTTGCTCTCTGCTGCAAGGGCACATTGCAGGCTAACCCAGACCCTCACAGCCTTCTCTGAAGAGGTGTGTTCCAGATGGGCGGCCCCAGCACATACTGGTGCATGTGATTGTTCTTTCCCAAGTGCAGGACTTTGCAATTCCCTTTGTTGAACATCAAAAAGTTTCTGTCAACAGATTTCTCCATCATGCAGATCTTCAGTGAAGATGTTTAATTGCCTGGACCTACTGTGGACCACTGCCTACAGCACCGATCACCACGCTGTTGGGACCAGCCTTTCAGCCCATTTTCCATCTATCTCTGGGCTCATCCAGCCCATACATCAACAGCTTCACTATGAGGATGTTACAGGGGACCATATCAAAAGCCTGACACAAGTCAGGGTAGACAACATGCCCTGCTCTTCCCTCATCTACCAAGCCAGTCATTTCTTCTGAGGGAGTTATCACATCATTTAGGCAGGACTTCCCCTCTGTGAACCCATGCTGACATCAAGTGGTTCACCACAAAATTATTTACTCCTTTGCTAAAAGCAGCCTCACCCTTGCCTGACACCCCACTAGAGCTAATGCCACCCTGCCTGTGAGGTCTTCTGATGAAATCCACTTGACATCTCTTCAAGATACTTACTGGGAAGGGCTGAACTTGTCCCCCTCCCTGCTATCCTGAGAGCACAGAGGGCTTCCACAAAACCCCCAGGCACATGTGCCCCAGGACTTGCTGAGAGATGGCTGGCCAGCCAAAAGCCAGAGCCACTGCCTCCAGCACCTCCTTCAACAAAGCAGCAGCCTGTGCTAGCAGCTTTGCTCCAGGTTTGGCTTTGACTTGCACAACTAAGACAACGTTGGCCAAGTCTGCTTGCATACTGGGACCACAGTCAGCAACATGCAGTACCAAACAGGAGACAATAAACACCAGCATCCATTTATTCTGTCTTTATTCACTGGGGAGAGGAGGCCAGTATTTTATCTTGAGAGCTGTCTCGGCTGCTTAAGCCCTGAGAAGCCTCACCAGTTCTGCAGGACTGTGGTCGCTCTTACCTACAGCAATAGGCAGAATTAGCCAGTGCCAGCCCTTGGTTATGGCAAAACTGGCATGCCTTGGGAAGTGCTGGAAGGCAGGGAGGGGAATAAAGGGCTGCCATGTGGCCCCATCACAGATCAAGAGGGAATGAGTTTGCCCCGGCAGCAGTCACTGGGGGGAGATGTTTCCTTTCTTGTTCTCTGTAAAGACCAAAGCTTGTCTCAGCTCACATCGGGCTGGAGAGCGACAGCGCATGGTCTAAGGTCTTAAATTTTTAACCATATAGAGCAAAACCCATGCTCTGGAAAGACTGAAAATTATCAGAGAGAGCAAGTCTAAGGGTTCCTGCTCCAGGCTTTGTGGGATGGATGCCTATGAAATTTTGTTTCCAGTAGAGGAAATTGGTCTCAGCAGCATGGGGCAAAGGATCTTTCCTGGCTATTGTCTCACTACCTCCCCTTCACTATTTCCCACCAAGCCCCTGCCCCAGCCCAACTGCCCCACCTTGCTCCCCAGGCATTCCCAGATCTGCAGTACAACCCCACCAGGACCCTCAGATACAGCCGTTGTAGCACTACTAGATTAGGGGAGACTAATTCTCACCCTGGGCAAGGGAGGGCATGCCTGGGCAGCCCTTGGGACAACATACTGCAGGGACAGTGTTGTCTACCAGGACACAATGAAAGGGACACAGGCCAGGCAAGAGCATGCTCTGGAAAAGGGGAGCAGGGGACTTCTGGGCACCCAATTTCACACTACCCTGGGACCTGTGGATATCCCACACGGGGATGCCAAGCAGCCCAGGGACCATTACACAATGCTTACCCCCTCAGCTGCCTTTTATCATCTATTGCCCCTTTCTTTTAGAAGAGGCTGGTTCCCCCTTAACTGTATGTCACAGACCCCAAATCCCCCATACAAGAGCAGAACTTTTCCAAGTGAGGAATGACAGGCACAGCTCTGACCTGCAAGCCAACCTCCAGGCTCAGGGTTGAGCCCAGGGCTCAAGTAGCAGTGCCACCACAGACATGGCCCCCAAACTCCAGAGGGACTGAAGGTATCCACATGCTGTCCCCACACAAGCCAGGCAGTGAGACTGCTAAAGATGTGAGATGCCATGTCTGTGTAACCACACTCCCAGCACCACCTACCAGGCCCTTGCTGGAGGGTGTGACAGCAGCCCCACACCCGTGGTGGGAAGGGGTTTCAGACACAGAATGGGATGCTGTTGAGGGACTGAGACTTGGAGGTGCAGAGACAGTCAGGGAGAGGTATTTCCACATCATTCTCCTAGCTCCCAGTGGCATTGTCCAGCACCTGCCAGCCAACACCAGGCTGCTCGGACCTGAACAGCAACGGCAGGAGGAGGCAACCCCAGCCCAGTTGTAACACTCATGCCGCACTCAAGCTGCCACCTCCACCACAGCCCAGCCCTTCCCTGGGATGGAGACCTGCAGTACTAAAGCAGTTGTTGAATGCTCTTCCTTCCTTACCGCCTTTGAGGTGAAGATCCTGACACCAACATCTCCCAGGACCTTCTTCCCGGCCCCTCCCAGCAACACCGAGCCTGGCAAATACCTTATGGCAAGTAATTTTACGTTATTCTGCATTTACACAAAAATAGAGCAATTCTATATTTATAGAGATTTATAGCCGGTTCCGTGCTGGAGGAGTTATTGAGCAAGGCCAGGAGCTGTGGGCGGTCCGGGCTCCCGAGCAACCGGCTGCTTCTCATTCGGCATTTCGAACATACAAAATTAAAGGCATTCGTCTCCGTCTGGTTTCTTAAATAGATAAGGGGGGATCGAACGGACAGTATGTACAGAGGGGCAGTGGCAGGGCCTGGTGCCCGGCCCGCAGCCTCACGCCTCCGCCCGGGGTCAGTGAGGCCGGCTGCTGGACTCTGAGGGCTGCCGCTGGCGCGGAGGAGTGTAGCCGTTCAGGTAGCCGTTGCTCTGGCGTTTGCTGAGTCCTCCGTTAAGAATGTCCTGGATGTGCTGCACTATCAGGTTTATGGCCACTGTGAGCAAAAGGGGGAGAGGTTGCATTAGGATCGCTGCAAATCAACCAGCAGGTGCCCCTGCTGTCTCTCTCCTGCTCCTGGTCCCCTCCCCTCCCAACCTTGCGGGAAGGAGCTGCCCCGTTGCCCCACTGGGACTTCATCCCTCTGCCCCAGCTAAGCCCGGCACTCAAGCCAGTATGGTCAGGCTGATTCCAGGCCTGGCTGACCCAGGCCTTGGAGAAGTCCATTTCCCTTTATGTGAGATGAACCAGGAGTTTGCTTGGAAGCTTGGAAGTACTGCATATAGATGGGCTCTTAGGCTTGAGCAGAGAAACACAAACTCCCAGTCGCTAATGCTCCAGGCAGGAGCAAAGGGAACAGGCTCATCTCAGCACAGTGTGGTAACAGCACTCTCTCAGGTGGCAGCGGCCTGGGTCACCTCCGTGGCAGGTCCTGCTACCTCCTACCTAATTCCACTGCAAGAGCAACAGCCCAAAGCCACCTGCCAGGGGTCTGGGTCCACTTACCTTCATTATCTGCTCCTCTGGGAATGATCACGTCAGCATACTTCTTGGTCTGGGAGGAGAGAGAGCACTACGTTACAGGGAAATTGGAGAGACACCAGGCTGGGGCATCATCCCTGCTTCCTGGGGCAGGTCCTTGCCCTCCCCTTGCCAAACCCAAACCCACTGATTGCTGATAATCCATTTTGGATGCTCTCTTTGGCGTTCTGCTCTGTGTTTTGAGGGTTATGCTTTGTGCCCTGATTCCATTTTCCTGAGCTCATAGAGATGCCAGTAAGAGGCACCCTAACAAAACCTGGAATTAAGAAGCCTCATGATCACAAGACTCCAGCATCTGATGCTTTTGGGAACATCCTTCTCACTGAGTCCATCCAGACTTGCCTGAGCACAGCCACATGATCTGCTCAGAATGGGGGGAGAATTCCCTACCACATTGCTTGCAAAGAAGGTGTGATTCAGGACACCAGTTCTGACCTAGTTTCACCTGCAGGTGCCAGTCTCAGTTTCCTCCCCCATTTGTGTCAGTTTTACAGCTGACAGCCAAACTCCGCCAAGCCAGCTGGGTGATGGGTGTCACCTGACACCTCCGAGTGCTTCCAGACATATCAAAAATCACCAGGATATGTGGGACCGTTTCAGTGCTGGACTGCTCGGCCCAGAGCTGGTTTAGGAGTCGAATAACAGTAACAGTGGGTGCTGAGTGTGCTCAATATCTGCATGCAATTGCTCTGCCACTGAGCACCGGGTTGGAAGTGGGAGCAGACCACTGCAAAGCTGTGGGTAGGGACAAAGCAGTTTTCTGCCCTCCCTGTTTCACATTTCATCCTCCTACAGACTCTTCATCAGAAGACACTGATGAAGCAGCATCTACTGCTTTACCTTGCTGGGGATTGCAAGGAGAGGAGCCTTGCAAGCTGGACCTGCCTTTTGGGAAAAGCCTTTCTGGGATTACACTGGAACTGGTCCCCAGAGCCACAACGGAGAAAAGGGAGCTGCATAGGAGCCAGGAAAAGATCTTGTAGCACAGAAAGAATCAGCCCCTCTTATGGGAAAGGGTAGAGCTGGCTAGGCTGGCACAGAGATGCTCCTGAGGCTGGAGGCACAGGTTTAATTCCTGCCTGTGATGCTAGCCAGCAGTTCCCAGGTTGCAGGACTCTAGTGGCTCAGTTCCTCCAGACTAAGACAAAAATTCCTCATAAAACTACCACATCTGCCTAAAAAGCCTTGAGAACCAAGGCACAGGGTCCTCTCCACGAGAGCCAGGAAAGGTGTACAATGGCTAATCCTGCAAACATACTATTTCCCCTGCAAGTTCTGCAGGACTGGTCTCCCCCGTGCACAGTGCCTGTCTGCTAGAGAGTCTTGCCTCCAGTAACAGCTCCCAAAAGAGCTTCATTTCTCCAGGCAGACCTTGCAACCCTGGTCCACCCTGGCCACTCACCAGTCAGGAAATGCAACCTGCAAGGCCACAACCCATGGTGTAGAGACAAACAGCAGCTTCCCTGCTCTCCCAAGCATGAAGCAGCAGCACTGGAGAGTGGAAAGGGCATGCAGGACAGCCCAAAAGAGTAGGCAGCCACAGCAGACACTGCCTGGGGGCGGTGATCTCCCCTTCCCTGGCTAAAGGTAGCCAAGGATCTTCCCTCCCAGGCTGGCACCTGCTGAGATGCCCAGTGGTTTGTCAGGCCCTGTGCAGGGAGGGGTTTCTCTTGTCATGTCACCTTCCCCTAGGGAAGGGTGATCTCACCAGGAAGGCAGTGGCTGTATAAATAGTCCCCATCTTGCCCTGCCCCGGCCAGCACTGGCAGCCCCATTTTGGCCAGAGCTTGCAGGGAAGGAGCAATGCACAGAAGGCTGAGCTGAGCTCTGGGCACAAAATGCCCCTGTCTGAGGAGCTGGGCAGAGTATGAGGTATTTTTGGTAGACTCCTGTGGGTGTCACTCCCCTGACTTACCGGCAAACAGAACTCCTCAAAGGCAGGCTTGACGAAGGTGATGTACTGAGATAAGATCTGCTCGAGGTCCCTGCCTCGCTCACTGATGTCTCGTAGCACTGTGGGGAAGATATAAGGCACAGTCAGGAGCTAAGGCACAAATCTCTCCACCTTCTTTCCCTTCAGTACAGCCTTTGGCCAGCCACTCAGCTATTTTGCCCAAGGTCTCTGCTCCTGGAAGCTGTTGCCTATGTCTGAGCACATCCCAGCCCAGCTACATGCTTTTAACCCACTTCCAAGCTCTCCTGGGAGCCAGGGGCTGGCTGACCTGACCAAGGGCTTTTCTTGGCCTCCTGCCCTTCTCAACTCTACAAGTACATTCCAGTTATAACCAGTGCCACCCTGGTCCTGACTATTCCCAGCCTCAGCCCTCGCCTCCCTCCTGTGGCTCTGCCTTGCTGGACAGGGCATTCTCTCAGTCATCCCCGTGCAGATGTGTCCAAAGAATAGAAATGCAATGAGGTTACTCATACACATACTAAGGCCCAGTTTAACTCAGGTCTACAGAGGCGAGGAGAGCAAAACTCAACTCCCTGCCCAGCTCTGCCAGGCTCCTTGTGCTCTCCTAGGCCGAGTGGGACAGGAAGGCAAAGCAGTCTAAGGGTGTGCTTGAAGGAGGTGAGCTCAGGAGGAAGCCAGAAGGCAGGAGAGCAAGCTGTCCTCCTGCTTGTTCTGCCACTGGGGCCTTTCACCCTGTTTGCATGAGCTATTTATTTGGGCCACTGCCATCTCTGCTCTGAAGACACTTCAGTGTGGACAAGTGGCCCAGTTCAGCAGGAATTCAATCCACAGGGAAGAGCCAAAACAGCCCTGTGGCCGAGCAGACAGCTCTTGGCTCTCCCCAAGGGGCTGTCTGGCTTTTCCCCAGCATGCTAGTGCCTGGCACTGGGCTGGGAGTGAGCCTTCCCTCATGTCCCAAGCAGAGCCAAGGTACGGCACTGCCAGCCTGTGTGACCTGCTGGGCAGCCGCTGCCCCTGTGCTCGCAGGGCCAGGACAGTGCTGGTCTGGCACCGTCCCCACGGCTCTTTGCCCTTGGCCAGCAGCTTCACAGCATGCCCTTTCACAGCCCTGCACAGGGGAAGTGATGGGGGGGAAAAAGGATGTGTGCCAGCTCCCTGCCTGCTCCCAAGAGCAGGAGCAAGCCCCTGCTCAAACAATACAGAAAAAGAGGCACAGAAAATAAAACAGGCTTTTGTTTCCCAGGTCCCACACCCTATTTGTTGTCTGTGCCAGGGCAGGGAAGGGTGTACTTACAGCACATGCAGGAGGCCCAAGAGCTGCCCCAGGGTGCAGGGGCTGGTCCTAACAGGGCAAAGCTCTCCTGCCTGTTCCCAGGGCAGACCACAGCAGGAATTGCCCCCCACACAAACAGAAGTCAAGCACCCACTGCCTGGTACCTGGCCCCGAAGCAACAGGTCCCAACAACCCAGGCTAAGACCATGCACCCAATCTGGAGGGATCGCTCACAGGGCAGGCAAATATCCCAAGGACAGATCGGCACCCATTTGAAGCCAGCAGGGATCACTCAAATCGGGCCCAAAACACGCATGTGACACCGGACCTTTGTTGTACGGAAACTGGCCAAGGACAGGCAGCGAGGGATCTCAGCCAGAATCAGGTCCCTGATCCCCATGGATCAGGCTGTTTGAGGTACCTCACAGACCTTGCCCCTTGCACTCTGCTAGCGGCATTTTTCTTGGGAGAGGGGCCAGGATGGAGACAGTGCGAGTTGCACATACTGAACCCCAGCACTATTGATCAACTGAGCCGTCAGCAGGGTTTCCAGGAACCTCACTTCCTGCTGCTGCCCAACTGAAAAGCACACTGATGCAACCCTTTAGGACTTCGGGGACAGAAAGATGACTCAGGGCCACATCACAATGCAAGATCCCAACTTTTGCTACAAGCTGCCTCCAGCTATGTTCCAGGGACATGATTACACCTCTGGCACCTCACACACAGGCTATCCTTTCCCAGAAATGCCAGGGAGACATACAGTAAACAGGTTTAATGCTGCAGTGGTCCTACCAGCTGCTGACAGCAGACAAACAGCCAGATTCCTACCAGGGGAACACAAAGTTGCCCTAACTAGGAGACACCAGCCCCTCAATCAGCCGAGCTGCCCCTGTGCAAGCAACTGATGGTGAATGGAAGAAGCACAAGCCTTACCAGAAGCAGCGTGAGCACAGCAGTGACCTGACCTGAACTGGCTTTGGTGCCCACTAACTCCACACAACACACCTCTCCTGTCCTGAGTGACCACCATAACAGGTGGAGCCCAAAACCATGGACTAAATAAATGCAGTGGACACTTGGGGCACATTAACAGGGATGATCCATAACACGGGGAATGATATCTGTATGTTACATCAAAGGATGGGAAGAAGGGTGGTGGGTAAAGAGAATGTATTGGATAGCATGGGACCTGAGCACGATGGAAGTGGTTTGGAATAAGAGATGGAAGAATGTGCTGGTTTTGGCTGGGATAGAGTTAATTCTCTTCATAGTGGCTGGCATGGGGCTGTGTTTCATATTTGTGCTAAAAACAGTGTTAGTAACACAGAGATGTTTTCGTTGTTGCTGAGCAGTGCTTACACAGATCCAAGGCCTTTTCTGCTCCTCACCCCACCCCACCAGCAAGGGGAGGGGACACAGCTGGGACAGCTGACCACAACTGACCTAAGAGACGTTCCATACGTCCATATAGGATGACATAAAGCTGAAGGAAGAAGGAGGAAGGGGAGACATTCAAAGTGATGGCGTTTGTCTTCCCACATAACGGTTACATGTGATGGAGCCCTGCTTTCCCTGGGACGGCTGAACACCTGCCTGCCCACGGGAAGTGGTGATAAATTCCTCATCTTGCTTTGCTTGTGGCTTTTGCTTTACCTCCTGAACTGCCTTTATGCCAACCCACAAGTTTTCTCACTTTTACCCTTCTGATTCTCTCCCCCATCCCACCAGGGGAGGCTGGGTGAGCAGCTGCGTGGAGCTGAGCTGCTGGCTGGGGTTACACCAGGACAATGTGCTGCCCCGTAGCTGGGTGTGGATCCAGGCTTCTGTTTAAAGGGACTAAGGCTCACATTTCGGGATCTTGCAAGTGCGTATCTGTGACCTGCTAATACATCTCCCTGCGATGACTGTGCTGTCACCTCCCTGGGTGAGTCATGCAGGAACAGTGGGCAGGGTCAAGAGGGATGCGTAAAAAGGAGATTTTAATCAGTGCTGATGACATCCCAGCAGCTGAGGAGGCTGTGTATCTGCCTGACAGCAGGAGGGCAGGCAAGACCAGCTCTATTGCAGAGTGGAACAGTCCCATGCACTCAACACTCCCAGACTGACGCACTGAGACACGCTCCTCTCGTCACAGCACAGAGCTCTGGAAGGAACCACTCCTCTCCTTCTGCATCCCCAGACACCCTGTGGAGTCTCTTGGAGCCAGGCAGGGGAAGGGACAGTTCAGACAGAAGTGAATTCTGACCCCAGGAGTCCTCAGATGCTTTTCCAGTCAGCCAGGAGGTGCTAAATCAGTGAACCGCTCCTAAAGGCTGCTTCAAAATGAACAGCATCTCAAGTCATGCAGACCCTGCAGAGCTGGAGTTCCTCCCATGTCAGCTGGCAATCCACAGCCAAGCCAGCTGGACAAGGGGAGTCCTAGAGAGGGATGTTCTGGTTTCTAGGGCTCTTTGCCCCCAAACCATAACCCCAGTGCCAAGAACCCCAAAGAGGCTCCACGCTGCATTGCACAGACCAAGATGTACAACCAGACACTCCATTTGCACCATCCACAACGGACGTTCTCACACCCCAAAACCATCCTCAGAGCACTTTACCTGTTAAACTGTCTTTATCTCAATCCACAAGTTTTCTCACTTTTACCCTTCCAATTCTCTTCCCCCGGGAGACTCATACCCCAGGTCCTGAGGGGATCTATCAGGCACTGCCTTCTGACTGAACTGTCCAGATGCTTTGCCTTGCCTGCTGCACCCTTCCGTGCTGGTAACTGCTGACTGGCAGCAGCTGCCACTCAGCTGCTGGCACAGAGCTGGTGCCATGGGGCCATATGAGGACATGGCACACTCAGCAGTCACAGTGCTGCATGCATCAGAGCAGGAATCCCAGGCAAGGCAGCAAAAGTCCCAAGAGACGTGGAGCAAGGTGCTCTCCACTGCCACGAGCTGCCCTCCGTGACACTCCGCCGTGCTCTCCACCAGCAGCAGCACAGCTTTGTGCCAGCTCTGGTCACTGTCACCTGCCTCCATGACCAGCTGCCCGGATCAGTTAAGGGATATTTCTGTCCCCGGTGCACAAGGCATGTTAGGGCCTCACCTCTGCGGGACAGCCGGGTGTCCGCGTCCGTGTCCACGAAGAGCTTCATGCGGAAGAGGTCCCGCACCTCCTGGCTGTAGAAGGCCAGGATGCCTTCGAAGAGCACCACGTCGGCAGGGTACACGGTCACCGTCTCCTCTTTCCTAGCAGGGGGAAGGAGAGTCAAAATATGCTGGTGGGGAGGGAAACCAAAGAGAGGTGGGAGGGGGGGGAAACAGCGGTGCTCCTAGGCACTGCTCCAACCCTGGGACATCACTGCTGCACCAGGGGGCCGACCAAGGAGAGGGCAGACCTACCCCACCGCCGTGAAGGGAATCCAAGGCATACGTACGCTTCCTGGAAGGATAAATGGCAGAGCGGGAAGCACACTAGGCCTTCTCCCCCCACCTCAGCCAGCTGCTGCTTGCAAGTGTTATGTGCCAAGCCACAAAAAGCCCGGGAAAGCCTATGCATGGGGCTTGACCCACAGGAACCTGCACGGCCAGCTCTGCTTCCCTTGGGAACCAGGCAGCACTCCCCTGACAGCACAGCGCTTTTGTGGGAAATGGAGCAGGGTCACACCATCCATGACCAACAAAGGCATGCAGAAAGAAGCTGAACACATGCAAGGGAAGTGTTGCAGGAGCAAGAACTGTCATCCTCCTCCTTTCCTGGCACTGCTGAGCTGTTTGAGCCTGGAATACTTGTTAAAGCTGCAAACAGTTTATGGGGAGAGGAAGTGTAGATGGGGGGAAAAAAAGGGGGAGGGTCTTAATCCCCCTCCACTGACGCCTGTATGCTGTTGGATGTCACTGCATGGCTATTCCAGACCCTCAGACTGTTCCTGTATCTGTCCTGGATCCTCTAGCCAAGGGGCTGGAGTAGTTAGGATGGAAACTTTTGGCTGGCAGGTTAGGTGCCTAAGAGCAGGCATGAGAGGGGCAGGCGGTTTGGGCTGGGTGCTGCACCACAGGGCGTTAGCGGAGGCACAGCAAGGCAAGGCAGGAGCAGCTGTTAGACCTGGAGTGGGAGACAAAGTCATAGACAGGAATCTGGACCGTCTTCCCTTCTGTGATCTCTTTGAGTGTTTTCACGATCAGCTCGTTGTCAAAGGCATCTGAGGAGAGAGGAAACGTTATCGAGGCAGCTTTGCAACCTCTCCCACCCACCAGGTGCTGAGCTCAGCCCAGCCAGAGTCACTGGCACCCTGCACTGGAGACAGACAGATGTACAGACTTGGGAGGAAAGCCCTGCACCTCCCCATGGGCGTAGCAAGACCCAACTCTCCCGAAGCCATGGGCCTTCATGGCTCTGCAGCAGCCTGGGATGTGGCCCACAGGGATCAATACCGCCCTTGTACAGCAGCACTGACAGCCCGGGCGCAGGAAGGCATCTCCTCCAGGGCTCCAGCCCTTGGAGAGACTGGAGCAGTGTTCCAGCCTGGAGCCACTGGACAGACAGGGCTCTGTTTGCTCAGTGCTCGCTGCCTCTGGCCATTGTGCTCCTGGGGACGAAGGGACAGTGGCTCTGGAATTTCCCCACCAGGCCCAGAGATGGTTCAAAGAGCCTCTGTTGTAGTAACAGGGCACAACCCCCTCAGTGGAGGGGTTTGCAGAGCAGCTGCACAGATGGTTCCCTCCTTGAAGGAGGGACATGGAGCTGCTGGCTCAAGGGGGCTGTGCCAGGCCTGATCTCCCTGTGTCCAACCCAGCTGCACCAAAAACCAATTTGTTCCTTTGCAACCTGGTCTAGTGAAGGGTGTCCCTGCCCATGGCAGGTGAGGTGGAAGATGACCTTTAATATCTCTTCCAACCCAAACTATTTGATGATTCTATGAAAAAGGTGTTCAAACTGGGGGATGTTTTTGCAGGAAGAGAAGCATCTTAAGAAGAGTTTGAGGGTTCACAACCTGCCCTTTCTCATCGCAGACACTCCACCCCAGAGGCAGTTTCTTTCCCAAGATGCAGAAGCTGTACTGCAGGGGACACAGGTGGCCAACTAGGCCACCCAGTCCTGCCCCATGTAGAGATAGTGTCCATGCAGGCTCTTTGCTGGTGAACTGGGGGTCCCACTCCAGCCCTCGCCCCACACAGCGTGGCAGACCCCCAGTGCTGTTCTCCATTCACCTGGGTGGTCAAAATTGAACTGGCCTTTGAGTGCTTTGGATTTCTGCTCTGAGGTGAGGACCCGGTAGAAGCTGTCCTGGCTCACAATCACCACCTGCTTCTGGCGGTAGTCCACCTCATTCTGGCCCAGCAGCTGGACGATCTTGGAACATACTGAAGACTGGGAAAGGAATGGCAAAGGAAGCAAGTGAGTGGCATGTGGTATCTAAGTGGCACGGGGCTAACATCTAGCTAACATTCACTCCTGGATGCACAGGGCACTGCTTGCTGGACCTCCAGCCGAGAGTTTGTGGTCGTCTTGAACGCCCAGCCCAAAGCCACTGAGGGAAAAGTCCTCCAGAGGCATCACTGTGGTGCCCCTTAGTGTGACAGCAGCACTGAGCTTGCTGCCTGCCTCCCTCTCCTCCGCCCCTATGGCTTGCCCACAGCTCCTGTTCTGGGTATAAGTGGCAGCAGGAGAACAGTTGGCTCCTCCCTGGGTTCAGCCACATGCCCAGGGGCCCCAGCTGCTCCAGCCTGCCAGGCAGTTCCCCAGGGAGCGGAGCTGTGGGACACCAGGGCTGAGCCTCCTCCCTGGGAGGAGCCCGGTACCTTGGCTCCCCAGCCCTGATCCAGCCCAGAAACCCCACCACAGTATGGGCACAGACAGAGAGTCCTCAGAGGGAGAGCCAACAAAACCCAGGATGAAAAGGCACCAGGAAGAGAGCCCTGGGACTTTATCAGGGAGCTCTGCTGCCAGGGCTGGGAGGAGCAGCCCGAGCATATCCTGGTGCCTCTTGGCACAGCAAGCCTAAGGGCACTGCGGAGTCAGCGGCTGGAGAGCCACGTGGCTCTGGCTGCCGGTGCAAGATCCCCAGAGCGCTGCTGGCACAGGGACTGGCACCTCTCACGCCGCACGGAGCGGGCTGGGTGCGAGTGGCCAGCATGGACTGCTGGCACTGCAGGAGGCAGGGTCACACTGGACCCTGCCATTGCAACACGACTCAGAGCTTGGGGGACAAATCCCACAGCCTGCTTCAGTCCCTTCTCCTTAGTCACAGGAGTCCTTGGCCGCAGCAGTGTTAACTGCATCACCACCTGGCAGCCAGCACTGCCCTGGCCAGCAGGAGCCAAGGTCAGGCTGGCTGGGGAACACTCTGCTGCCTGCAGGAGCCCTGCATGTCCCACCTGCTCCTGCCCCACGGCATCCACTGTTCAGGGCAAAGTAGGTGCTCCTGGTGCCAAACTGAGCTCCTTCACCTCATGGGAATCACGTTGGCTGCAGATGCCCTGCTGAGCCACTCCTGGCCCTAGTCACCACAAACACTCTGCTGAGCCCTCTGCCTTACAAAGAGCAGTTTGCTTGCCCCAGCCTGCCTAGCCCAGCCTGCCAGTGGCTTTTTCCATGCTCCCACCTCCTGGCTGGTTCAACCATCTGCTCCGTACCTGGCTGCAGAGCTGAAGACGGTGCTGGTGAGAAGGAACAGGGAGGGGAATGCATGCCTGGCAGAGGAGATCACCCCAGCAGGCAGAGGGCAAGGCTGTTTGCCTGAGAAGCTGGAAGATTTGACGGCATTCCCGCCTCCAGAGACCATCTCTTCCCCTCCAGGCCAGGCTGACCTGACTTGGCTGTGACCGCTGGGCTGTGAGTCAGCCCCAGCCTGGCTGGAGAGCCTCCACACAGCTCTGCTGCTGAGTGAACTGGCTCGGGCTGCCCGACAACAGCCCGGGCAGCCTGGGGCACAACTCCGTGTTTCAGGTCAGGGATGGGGTCTCCCTGAGCATCCCACCTTCTCCTCCTGCTTCTCACAGCTGGTTAGCTGTGCTTCCCGAGCCACGTTGGCAGCCCTGCCCTGCAGCAGGCGGCTACCACCCAGAACAAAGCCCTGCATGTCAGTGCCAGTCACTTGCCCTTTGGCACACGCAGGCACAAAGCTGGAGCCCAATCTCTGTTTCCTCTGTTTGCTCGCTCCCCACATCCTTCTGCAGCCAGGGTCAGCCCTAGTGCTTATCCAGCTGTATCCCCTAGGTTTCGCAAAACCAGGGCGTGCACAGTGCCTCTCCTCCACTTTTCCTGCCTGCTCTCTCCCCTGGACACCGCTGCCTTCCCATGCAGAGAGGAGACGTAGCGCAGCAGGGTTCAGCCTTGGCCACAGCTGACGAGGACACCAAACTTCCCAGGCCCTTTGCCATTAGGAGTAAACCACCTTTCAGCACAGCCATACAGGTTCCCAGCCTACAGATCCGCAGGCTCCACATGGATCTGCACCAGGAATTGCTTTCCCCAGCCCAGTGGAGAGAACAGGGCTCCTTTACTTTGGATCAAAGTAACACACGAACTGCGCTCACTCTCTCCCCTTGGACCTCAGCACATGGATGGGCAATAAAATCATTTGAGAGCACCAGACAGTTCCTGTCAGCCTTTTTTCTGCCTTATGAACACAAAAATCTCTGGTCTACTGATCCTGGAAGGTGGAGAAGAGTCTCCACCAGCTCTGAAAATCACCCTTCTCTTGCATGCCCCACAACTCAAGACACCCAATGGTGAGAAAAATCCAAGGAGAAAACATCCCCTGGCAGCTGGAGACTGGAACATGTCCTCCCTTGGCATTCCAGGATGAGGATCAGAGCATATGCCAGCTGCATTTGCCATCAGGGCTCTGGGTGGACGGTACCTCTTGCAAAAGCATCCAGGCAGATGCTCCAGACTCTTCCCTTTTCCATGGTGGGCTTTGGAGAGCTGGCAGAAGTGGTAGAGAAAGATGACCATGAGGACACCCTGTTCTTAGGACCAAGCTCAGGTTCAGCATACCACACTGCCTGGGTGAGCAAGGATGTCACTTCTGGGGTCTGGGAAGAGGCACACATGTCACCTTGGTCCTGCAGGTGTGGGCCACAGCACTGCTCACGCATTAAACCTGCATTAAGTGCAGCAAGACAGAGGGACATGGGGGGGGGGGACAGGGTATGTTCCTCCAACCTCAGGGCTGCGTTCATCTTGCCTCAGTGGGGCAGCAAACCTCAGCAAGGTCCAAGTGAAGGTTTTTCCTTTTCTCACTATCATTTGTGATGGAAACACTGGTTCATGAGGGGCATTCCCTGATGCCAGTTGAATATCTCCTACAGCTGGACAGGCAGTTTTTCCCCTTGGTTGATAAACACCCTCTGTGAAGGAGGAAGAAACACCAGAAACACGGAGCTTGGAAATTCCCCTACACAACAGGAACAGAAACTCCTGGCCTCGGGAAGTGTCCCCCCAAATGACTGGCACGTCCCCTGCTTAAACCCTCTTCTCCCAAACCAGCACAGCATACATACATGACTGTGAAATATTCACTAATAATTAGAAATGGCCACAGCCAGGCTCTGGGGAGGCTGGCAGATGAGCAGAAAGACCAAGACTGGAGCATGACTCCAAAGTACAGTGCCAGGATGCAACCAGCCAGGATGCAGGGTAACCCAGGGGACACGTGGTCCTGGCACATGCACTCAGCACCCACTTGAAGGGATGGCCTGGGCTCAGATTCCTTCCTTTGCAGATTCCTTGTAGCTTCTCCCAGGGGAGAAGACAACTATTGTTTCTTCTCTGAGAAGCCCAGGACTGCAGGAGATGACTTGAGGAAGATAACATGATGCTACAAATGAATCCCAACAGAGAAAAACTCTAAGATTTGAGCCCCACCCCTAGCTCTGCCTTACATGACACATCTCATCTGCAGTAGATGAGAGCCATGCCAAGGCTTCCACACAGCCCCTTCTCCACATCCACATCATCCATGCACACCTCAGCACGACCCAAGGCGAACACTGACAGTGATTCAGCCGCAGTGCATTCCCGGCAACAGGATGCTTTCTCAAGCAAAAGCCTTCCCCTCCTCCAGAACTTGGTTAAAACTAAATATAGCCAGGACCCAGCAGCCTCCATGGTTGCCAAGCAGACCTTTCCCATGTTAGCCACATGAAACCGATGCAGGACTTCCCAAGCACACAGGCAAGGAGCGAGCCCCGGCCACTGCCATCGGTCACGACTTCCCACACGCTGCACCGAGGGGAACTCGGCTCCTGCTTTGAGCAAACTGGCTGCAACCCCCAGAGCTGCACTCCCCCAGGCTTTGTGCTTGAGCTGCTCCCTGGGAAAGCTGTGCCAACCAACCCACACCACACACAGACGGTGGGGAGGGAGGTATCCACACAGCACAAGCGGCAAGCTCGGAGAGGTTATTCCTGAACAGAGGCAGCTGCAGCTCCCCTTGCAGGACTCCTCCTCTGAACCAAGCACACAAATAGCCAGTGTTCAAAGAAGAAGCACAGCTTTATTCTGCTGGAAAGGAAGAGGCAGAGGGCACCTGGGGGAGAAATCCAGCATATTTTCCCAAAAGGAGAGAGGTGGTGCACAGGGGAAGAAATCAAGACTGGTGTTCAGAGGCCTACCCCTGACATTTATTTGGAATATATTAATTACCTATTTAATTCATGGCCTACAGCCAGCTGCTCAAATATTCTTCAGGAGTTGACTAATTCCCCAACATTATTATGCAGATTATCCCACAATCCCTCTTGGGTAGCTCTGATCAAGCAGTGAATTATGACTTCAGATGGGTATTAGGGAGAAAGCTGACGGACAGTGCCACAGTCAACCACCATGAACCATCACGTGAAGGTGCCAGGCAGGACACAGCTGATGCCTTCTGCTCCAGGTTTGGTGCAGTAGCCACGGTAATACACGTACTTCTGCTTCTGGGGGTAAGGCCTGTTCTGGGCTAGCAGGAACTCCTAACCTTTGTGCAGGTGGACATGCTAAAACCTACTCACTAACAGCAGACCGTCCACTCCCAGAAAGCCTGGCACTACAGAGGGGTGTCCAAGCTCCCTCTACAGCTGCAGGAAGGACCTCCCATCCTCCCAGGGATTCTAGATAAGATACCCAGCAAAAGTGACTTACCCAGATCAAGTCATTTCAGCCCTAAAGAAATGCTGAAGCTGCCAGACCTCTCAGGAGCAGGTGAAGAAGGGCTGTGCCAGAAGCAAGACCTACCACAAGAGGTGTGTGTTGGGCTCCAGTGTGCAAGGAGGAGAGGCCCAGCCTCCTGCCACCACTGCAGGCTGCTTGCCCTGAGCCAAGCTGCTGCTCACGAGGACAGTCCTCCTCAATGGAGCAATGCCCTTGGCCCAAGACAAATG